CCACCATGGAGGCTGGCAAAGTGCTAGATGCTAATATGGGCACGCGTTTCGGAACGGGTATCAACAGGCGGATGGTGAACAAAGGTACACCCAAGCCATGTTGAAGGGAACCGAGAAATGCGTGCGTCTTCCCAAGGACCGCTGGCCAAGGAATGGCTCGGTAAGTGCGAGGACCCTGTGGTCAGATTACATCTCGCACTCTACGGGCATCCAGATAGTGGTGGTTTTTTGGGAGCAATATTGTGAGATGATGTTGAAGGAAATGGGGTTCGAATTGGTGTTCCCCGCTGCTTGGCCATCAGTGTTTTACCATTCAGGTCTTGGTCTTCTGCTAGCCGCTAGCCGTGTGTGTAGATGACTTCAAGATGGCAGGTCCTGAAAAGAACTTGCCAAGGGATGGGATCTTATCGGTTCCAAGGCTGGCATGGATACGCCAACGCCCTTGGGAAGGTATCTTGGCTGTTCGCGTGTCAAAGCAGTCATCCCTCAGGAGAGCGGGTCATCCATTTTCATTTTCTCATGTCTTCGATGAGTCCCTACGTGACCCTTCTGCCATGAAAGCCGCAGCCGCAGCTGTGCAGGACTTCAACGAGTACTATCCTGATGAGGGGATTGTGGCAAGGCATCACTTGCAACCACGCAAAGCCCTGTATCGACCCTCTGGCCCAAGGCTGGGTCCGTTCGGGTGAACGGATTCCAAGCCATTATCCGGGAGGGAGTGCCAGGAAGTGTGGGATGATAAACATCATGGTCACAAATTGCCCGAGTTAAGCTTCCCTCACGCGTGCGTGATTGAGCTTTATCGAGAGCTAAATGACGGAGGCAGTGTTGTTTCACTAGCGCGTTCCATTATAGAGGGGGTGAGGTAGGGGGAGGACTTAGAAGGGGACGCCCCAGCTAAAGTGCTATGTTGGGATATATAGACTCTGGAGGATGTACCTCCGAAAAACAAGCTGAAGCTACCGCCAGGCTCGCCTGTCCTCGTGGATTACTATCCAGAAAGGACGAGCCGTGTGGACGTTCTGTGCCAGAAGCTATCATGAAGGTTATTCGCTGGCTGGAGGCAGTGGCGGAGCTTCCTGAAGCCGACTGCTACCGGCGCCTGGCCTGGGCTGCGAAAGATAAGACAGTGGCCCTTTCAGAGAGCGCCCCGCTAACTAAAAGAAGTCCTCGCTACCCTGCGCTGCTTTTGGTTAAGATGGAAAGGTTCGTGCTAGACAAGGGCGAGGCTACAGTCCTGAGAGTCTTCGCTTGGATAAAGCTATTGAAGATATGGGCCTGCCTCCGTTGGTCGGATCTGCAGGCGATTAAGCCAGCAGACTTGCGGCTAACGGAGGGCCGGCTAGCTACGACACTGCGAAAGACAAAGACCTCGGGCCCAACCAAAAGGGTCAAGGAATTGCCGGTATGTGTTAGCGAGGTTACGTTCTACGAGGACCCCCTCTGGCTAGAGACTGGCTTCAACTTGCTAAAGCAGCTGGCTAACTGCAAGCGGGACTATCTGCTTCCGAGGCTATGGCACTGCGATGGTGGCCACAGGGGCCCTGCTAGCGAGGTTACAGATCCCTGGCGCGGCGCAAGGCTTCTGGACGGAGCATTCCGAGAGAAGCGTCCTGCCGACCGCCCTCGCTCTCATAGGACCAGTCGCCAGAGAAGGACTTGCTAGGTAGGTGGAAACCTGAAGGGTCAGATATTTACGTAAGGTCCTATGGAGGCCGGATCCTGGCCGATTGGCTCATGGACAGACGCTGCATCGCCGCAGACCTAGAGCCGGGCAAGTGGGGCAGTTGTGGCGCAGACCGCTGTGGACACGATCGCTCCGTTGCCAGGATCTCTGGCGGCCAGCTCTTGCCCATCTTGAACTAGCTCCTTAGCTTTGATCCCCGGAGGCGGACGCGTCTCCTCGATGTATACGGGCCCCGCCCGTTGAGGCGGAGCTAGCTGATGCCATGCGATATCATCCGCTAGCAGGCCTCGAGTCCGCATCAGCAGACCTGACTCGCCCTTAGCATCTTGTATCCAGATAGCTAAAGCTTCCACTATCGACTCCGAGTACGGGAGATTTAGCTCGAAGGCAAGCTGCCTAGCGACGTCCTCGCAGTCGCTAACTTCCAAGGTAGCGAGCTCCAAGGGGCCAAACTCCTCAGATTCCAGGTGCCGGTAGCACCTATCTAGCAGCTGTTTTAGAGCCATGGAGCCCTCGCTAGATGAACTGGCGCCAAGGTCCCTGGCTGCCAACGAGCAAGGGCTTAGCCCTCGTTTCCTTTCCTCCCACAACTCAAAAATTTCCCCCCCTTGACGTAGGGGGCTTATAGAACCAAAACGGCAACGTATAGCAAATATCTTGCCAGTTCCAAACCAAATTAGCATGTACAAATACATGTGGCGAAGCACCTTCGACGACGATTTCGCTAGAGAGTATAAGTTTAGCTAACGCGCACGGTCGTCCCTCGTACCTCGTTACGAGCGCGTCTCCAGAGTCCGACGTGGGCGACTGCTTGTTTGCCTTCTTGCGGCGGCTGGGGCACGGCCCGCATCCTTAGTCTGCTGCTGATTTGATTGTCCCAACGTGGGCTGCACGGGGGGAAAGGCATCGAGTGTGCACTCCTGTTTGCGTCGAGCGTGCGCTCCAAATGTTCGAGTGTGCGCTCCTAGGTGTGTTTTGAAGCAGAAATGCTAGGCCGTGCGCACGATTCAGGATGCATGTGGGGGCGGATTTGGGGGACCAGGTTGGCTGCGGGCCCACGCTTGCTGCGCCCACAGCCCCCCGCCAAGTGGTGCTGACCTCTGCCACCCCTGCTGGCGTGCCGGCTGTGGCCACAAGTTCATATGCTGGACCGGTGGCAAGGCCACTGACGCAAGATCCACATGCCAGCGTGCATTTCATGAAGCTGTTGCAGACGCTTGTGGGCGCTTACTCGCCGTTTGCCTTGAGGTACATGCAGGATAAGTGTCAGTGCAGCGTGGAAGACTTGCAGGCACGAGCTAGAGATAGGGATGCTTACGAGAGCGGTGCTCGTGGCCTTCCTCTTCAAGCGTCTCCATGGAGTGTGAAAAGAAGGGACGTGGTCGACGCGGATACAGGCATCTCGTCCAGAGTCATTTCTGTGCCGGGGCTCATAGCCTCTGATGAGGCGTATCCGACAAAAAGGGACTTCTATGAGAAATGGCGCCGCGACTTGAGTGAGGTTTTCGTCGGAGCTGGCAGCTTGGGTGCCGATGCTTCTTCGTCTTCTGCAGCGGGATATTGGCGGTGCGGTTTTTTGCAGCAACTATTGAAACTCAATGATCTACAGGGCACCCTAAACCCCAAATCCCAAAAACCTAAAACCCTGACGCACGTGTCTAAAAACTCTAAACCCCAAAAACCCTAAACTCTAAAACCCTAAACCCCAAAAACCCTAAACCCTAAAAACCCTAAACGTAAAAGCCCTAAACCCAAAAACCCGAAACCTTCAAAACCACCTAAACCCTAAAAGCCCTAAACCGTAAAAACCTTAAAGCCGTAAACCCTAAACACCCAAAACCCCAAAACCCAAAACCCTAAAAACCCTGACGCGCGTGTCTAAAAACTCTAAACCCCAAAAACCTTAAACCCTAAACTCTAAAAACCCTCAACCCTAAAAACCCTAAACCCTAAACACCCTTAACCCTAAAAACCCTAAACCCTAAACTCCCAAAAACCATAAACCCTAAAAACCCCAAACCCTGAAAACCCTAAACCCTAAAAAGCCTGAACGGCAAAAACCCCCAAACTCCAAAAACCGTAAACCCTAAATTCCCCAAACCCTAAAAACCCTGAACACCAAAAACCTTAAAGCGTAAAAAACACGAAAAAAAATATCAACAACAACAGAACCACCTCAACACCAAAAACCTTAAACCCTAAAACCCCAAACTCCATAAACCCTAAACCCTTCAAACCCTAAACCCTAAGCCCTAAAAATCCTTAACCCTAAAAACCCTAAACCCTAAAAACCCTAAACGTAAAAGCCCTAAACCCAAAAACCCGAAATCCTCAAAACCACCTAAACCCTAAAAGCCCTAAACCGTAAAAACCCTAAAACCGTAAACCCTAAACACCCAAAGCCCCAAAACCCAAAACCCAAAAAACCCTGACGCGCGTGTCTAAAAACTCTAAACCCCAAAAATCCTAAACCCTAAACTCTAAAAACCGTAAACCTTAAAAACCCTAACCCCTA